AAGCGCTAATGCAACGAATGACCAGGCTCCACATTTTTCGGCAATCGGGAAACTTTTTTAAAACCAAATAAAACTCCTTCTTTAAGTATAAAATATAAAGGAGACGTGATTTTCTATTGATTGACAAAGCAATTTGCACGACCATTGAAAATCAATGGGAAGAATGCATGCTAAATAAGTGGTCATTTTTTACCGAGTACGCTTTCTACAGGAAATTGAAAAGAAGTGCATTTAAAAGCCGACTTCCTGCCGAGTCCAAAATGTTATAACAGTATGCCTTAAGGTAATCGGTATCACAACCACGACCAAGTACTTCTTCCCAATCGAAAACGCAATTCAGAATTTCAGCCAGCATTTCACGAGATAGGTCACGCACTGTATGCGTCGAATTATCGCAAAGCGACTGAGGCCAAAGTTCCACAGGAAAATTGAAAGTAGGAAATCAGTAGAACGAAACCTCACCCCAATAATTGATAAAATAAGCACCACAGGATTTTTGACTGTAATGGCCGTGAATTATATACACGAGTTCTCGAACCGTTTCTCAGGTCCATATCCGGAAATATCAGACGGCTAGAAATACAAACAGTTAACATATGGACTACCAAACCAGCTGGGTCTCGCGTCATTGTATCTGTTTTTGTTGATGTGCACGGTGGCCATCGATCTTGCGCCTGGGTTGCGCTGGGTTACACTAATAACTCTGGCCATCGTCGGTCCTAATTATCGTCTCTTGATTGGTCATCGAGGCGCAGTCAGCTGGAGCAGTTGTAGCAGCTACGCGGACAACTGCCGCCGAGTTGCACACTCATGAGTAGGTAAGCCCTATTCGGGCCCTAAAACGGACCAAGCGGTATATTCGCTGGACCAACACAGGGGCCTCATTGGCGTCCGGCAGGCGTTTTGGGAATGCGCCCCTACCCCCCCCCCCACCCCCTATATTTGTTGTGGTATGCAATCCTGATCCGTGTCCGTTATGGACCAGGGGTGTAGCGGTATGACTAGACGCGGGTTATGGACGTGCCAGCCGCCAGCGTCCTCTTCAGCCTCTCCCGGTCATCTTGACTTTGTCTTGACATCGGGCCCAGGTAAGGTAGATGCGGCGCAAGTCTAACACCACTATAAAATAACTCACGCGCATGTGGTCGTCCACCATTTCATCCTGCTGTAAAGCATTCTGCGGAAATCGTCGGTGACGAAGGTGGAATTGGTGTGGTAAGCCCTCTTAGACTTCTGATTGGTCTTTGCTCCGAGACCACCTTAAAAAACCTGAGCGCCAGGCCAAAACTAAGGGGGCTCGGCAATCTTGCCAAACTGGTAAGGGTCACCCCCTGCCGTGTATTAATCAAGATTTTGTATAAAAATATCAGGAAAGCCATTTTCCGGAAGGTTTTATCGTTTCAGAAGTGCACTGTGTAACAACCTAACTCGCTATCATTCATTTAACAGATTGGAAACTTGCAGTCTGCAAAATTCCCAATCCGAGTCACACTGAAAAAGTGAGAATGCGATCCCCTATCCTGCCAGTCTGCAAAACGTATGCCTATTAAATTAGGACTTTACAGAGTCGCACAAAGAATTGATGCAGTGAGAATAGCATAAATCAGAATATGATTATGCTACGTAAATCTGCACTGGCAAGCATTTCGACAAGAGTTTAGAAAACGTATGGTTCGTTGGCTAAGTCACGGAAATAAGGACCCCCGTACCCTTAAATCCAGGGGGTCTGAGGTTATAGTTAGGATTAGGGTGAGAGTTAGGACACGGGAATAGGTGTTTCCCTGGAATTTGGCACAAGACAACACGTAGTACGGAGGGAGTCCGTACTACCGTGACCGACCGTCCACAGAAATAAGATATTCAGGCTTTAATTTTCAAACCGAACTGACCGAGAGAAGCGCGAGTTCGGAGAAGACATCGACCTCTTACCAGTACAAATAAATCACATAAACACTGATATGGGGATTGTCAGGATTTCAAAATGCAAGCTTCCTTCCGACGTGGTTAACTTCCTCAATGAAGGTGTCCTGTAGATGCACACATACGAATCTTCCAGTCGAACGGCGGCTCGTTCTTATCAGCCGAGGACGCGCGCGTGGGCCACTGGTCTTCTGCGGCTCAAAGTCGGACACTGACATTGTCGTTGTGTCAGGGGACAAGGGTGGTGCGAGACTGCCAGCGGAAATGAGGGCGAGTCTTTCGTGATAGAAGAGTCTACACTGAATGTACTGTTAGTTCAATTAGGAATGGGCCAAAGCTATGAAATAGAAGCTGAACAAACTGATGTAGGAGGGAATTATAGGCCACAGCAGTGCCGAGTTCACGACACTCAGCGATCCCAGGTGTGATCTTCCAAAGGCGTCCAAATGCGTTGCACCGTCGAGGTAAATTCTGCTTCTAGCTGTATCACCTACTTACACTAATGATGCTATCCGAAATCCACCTGCCTTCCACGGATCCGTTAGTCATCATTTTACCCCCAGGCAAAGTTTACCCCAGCTCTTATACCCTCATCCCCACCATTCGGCCTACGAACCATACTCGCTTGTTTCAACTTGTCTGATGAGCGGGATTACTGGTCAAATTCTGGCACCACCATTTTTGGTGTGCTATCAACAATTACGACTGGTCCAGGTGTCCCCAAGGTGTTTGCCCTTCTCACATTCCCTGGCTGCAGACGCATTCGGATGACGGTCTACCAGCCGGCAGCCAATGACATGGTCGACTAAGGACCGCCCTGCTGCATGCCGCAAGCAATTTTTTTTTCTTGGACTCTTTTCTCAGCAGACTGCGTCTTCCCTGATTTTATTTTCACTTAAGAAAAGAATATCTCTTGGTTTTAAGGACATTTACATCAAAATTCGTACCACTTAAGCGGTCAATTGTACAGGTTGTGGTTCACGTAGGCGGCCGGGAACAAGCTCATTTGCAAGTCGGCATCCTTGCGTGGCCGAAATACCTTGCTATATGATAAGTGCTATTACTAGCGTACATAGGTGATCTTTTCGAACCAAAAACACGTTTCGGAATTTCGGCTGACATTCCATGAGATGACGCAACGAGCGTATGTTTAAATCGTGGAGTCATCTCCGCTCAAGGCACAGCTTTCAACAGGACGTGGTTTTCTACAAAATGAGCATGGAATTTGCAGTAGCCGACCTTTCTCATGACGCACTGATCGAGATCCTGAAATGTATTTTTGACTGGAGTGGATTACTTGGGTGAGGTTGCAATGCTGATAAGCAGGGAGCGTAATCCCAAGATCTCTCGATCGTGCCAGCAGGTCGGCTTTTGAATGAGCTCCCACCCAGTCATTCAGTTGCCCTCATTTGACTTTGCCTCTCTTGTGATGAATCCGAAGAGGAATCTGAAGCATCAGGTGAATAAAGTTCTTCTTCCAGTGATGGTGTCTCCACCTTTAAGACTGCTTACCCGGTACTCGCCTCTTTCATTCTACTAGCAGAAATATGATGATGGGATGGGGCGGTCACCGATCGTTCATACGGAACTCACTCGTTCCGTTGTGCCTTAATGGCTCTCTCTAGCCCAACCAGCAGCCGCACAGCGGCGCATGATATAGGCAGAATGGCATTACCGACTAAGACAAGGGGGACTGACTCAGTTTCCGTAGTCTTTCTCGGTAATACCATTCTGCCTAGCAAAAATATTATTTTTGTACTTAATCGGGGGCAACTTATTTTCCCTTTAAACTGCATACTTGAAGAGGGGTATATTTCGATTTTAAATATTTGGAATTTTAAGACTTTTTGGACCGTGAAATGCCAATTCATGGAGCATCTTATCTGTGTTGTCCTTAATACTGTTGTTGAAGCACATAGCATGATGTACATCCATCCATCAGCAAATATACGCCGAGACGCCAATATTGCAAGACACGTCGTCAAATTTTATAATGACCACATTTTTGCATACAAGAAATGGTGTGTGAGTGTGTGTGTGTGTGTGTGTGTGTGTGTGGGCTGTAGGGGTGACGAGCGGTGGGTTCACGTGATGGTCGTAGTGGTCGCTCACTTGCTTGCAGGTGAGACTACACCTAGCGTCCATTTGCTGGCACCCAACTCTCACCTGTGGCTCCACGTAGCTGTGCTCTGCTCAGCGGCCACACCCCGGGCAACCGTCTCGACCGGCGGGCTAAACCAGGTGAGGGCGCTGTGCACTTGTGCCGAGTGCACAGCGTACCGCGGACTTCGCCGGATGGATGGTCGGATGAAACACTGCGCCGGCATCTTCGAGACGAGGCTCTGCCTGGTACGCCGTTGGATAACTGCTGCCGGGACGGGCCTCTGCATCGCCTTCGCTGAGACGCGCCCACCCCCGCCGACGGAGACCGCGGACTCACGGCAAATGCGGTCGTTCTCCACTACGAACATAAAAGTCGTGGCCCCATAGTGGGATTCGGTCGCGCCAACCAGGCACATGGGCAGCCCGATTCAGGGACGGCACTGCCTGCCCCCGCGAGGGGAAGGGCCTAGAAAAGGTGGTCTAAAAAATGCTGGGCACCACGCCGTCTAGAGGCCAGCCAAGGCCGCAGATGCCATCAACACGGTCGAAACAATCAAAATCGAAAAAATAACAATACCAATAACAAAAACAACAATCTTACTCACTCTCCTCATCCTAACTCTTCTTCCACTACCTCTGTCTATTCTTCTGCCTATTCTTCTCCACCTCCTTCCCGTCGCCCCACTCGTTTTCCCCAGACTGACAGGGTGAGCCCGCTCACTCTGGCAGCCTGGAATGTTCGTTCCCTTTTAGACAATCCGAGGAGCAACCGACCGGAACGGAGGACGGCGCTAGTGGCACGAGAACTGGCGCGCTACAAGGTGGACATCGCCGCACTCAGCGAGACCCGATTCTCCGAACAAGGCCAACTGGAGGAGGTGGGTGCCGGCTACACCTTCTTCTGGAGTGGTCGACCCAAGGCAGAGCGACGAGACGCGGGTGTCGCCTTCGCCATCCGGAAAGATATCGTGGGACGACTACACTGTTTGCCGCAAGGAACCAACGATCGTCTGATGAGCCTCCGCCTGCCTCTCCGGCGAGGAGGCAAGTTCGCCACCATCATCAGCGCCTACGCTCGGCCGATGACCTGTTCCGACGCCGTCAGAGACAAGTTCTACGAGGACCTGCACGCCCTCTTGGCGACTGTGTCGAAGGCGGACAAGTTGATTGTCCTTGGCGACTTCAACGCCCGCGTCGGCACAGACCATACTGTATGGAGGGGAGTGCTGGGTACTCACGGTCTTCGCGGCTCCAACGACAACGGCCTGCTTCTCCTCCGCACCTGCGCAGAACACCGCCTCATCCTGACGAACACGTTCTTCTGTCTGCTGGAGCGAGAAAAGGCCACCTGGAGGCATCCTCGGTCGCGTCAGTGGCACCTGCTGGACTATGTCCTCGTTCGGAGGCGAGATCAGCGGGACGTGCTGGTGACGAAGGCGATCGCGGGTGCTGACGGGTGGACCGACCATCGC